GGTGTGGGTCACGGCGGTTCTGATTCACAGGGGCTCGGGGGTAAGGAGGAGGAGCTTTCGGAGAATTGTGATTATAATTTAATTGAGCGTTAGATGAGGTCGGTATTACAGTTACGCGTTACAGAAGGGACACGAGAGCTCTTACGTTATCGTACTCGCATTGCTGTTTTCATTTGAAACGTCTGAGCCTTCTCCTACCTTACAGCAATTCAAAGGATGCGGTCGCAGTTCATTAGAATAAGGGAAAGATCTAAACTAAATATTAAAGTATTTAGAATATTATTACAATGAGAATGCTTACATGTGATACAAGGATAGAAAAAGGTTTAGAGCATTTCCCAATCTTTTTGTGTTCGTATATATATAATTATACATGTCATAGATTTGGGTCCTGTGTTTGATTGCTGACAGGGAGGTATAGATCTGACCAATTTAATGATGCACCAGGAGTAGGCATCGCCCCTTGCACCCTTCCGCTGTGGGTGCAGCTGTGTTTTCACGTGCAGTATGCGATGCGTACTTTTTAAAATATGCTGAAGATATATACGCCCTTATTTACTGCTAAATTAATTTGAAGCTGAGTTGAAATAATTTTTGACCATTTTTAAAAAAACTATTTCATTTTTGAAACATAACTTGCAGCTGTCCAGTATTTTTAGACCAAAGAAGCTGCATGTATCATACAGTGAAACACTTGTCTGTGGTACAACAGAATGGGAATTATCTCTGAAAAGGAAAAAAAAAAAAAAAAGACAGATTTGGGCTATAGAAATCTCTGTTAAATAGTAACTTGAAAGTAAAATAGCTCACAGACAACAGACTTTTTGAAGTTTTATTGGCAATAAATAATATGTTGATGATAGTGTTTTGAGTGGTGTGCTAAGTGTGTCATAATTCTCTTGCAGAGATCTCTAGTTAAAAAGTACTCTGGATATAGCACTGTTTTAATTTAAAAAAACAGATATAAATCATATGCAGGAGAGGAAGTATATTATAAACAGTGCTGGGTTTGATTCTAAATTTTTTGAAATGATGTTGGCTTAGTATTAGATTTGAATTTGAAGTATTGATGTTTACACACACCGAGGAGGGAGTCCGCGTTGAGTGTGCTAACTAATAAGATTGTTAATGCAAAGTGGTTTTGTGGGGAGGAGTATTAGACTTGTACCTATTAATACAGCTCTAACTATCTAGTAGTATTCCAGCATAAAAGAAACAGATATTTTGCACCCGGGTCCAAATCATATTCGCTTCTTAATCTTAATAGCCAGCGGTACTTTATTTGAGTAGAATTGTCAGAATTTGGCCCTCTGTGTATGTGTCTGCCTGGGAGTTTTTACTGAAAGTCATAAAAAGAACAAGATTGCCACGTTGGATGTTCCAAGTGGCTTCTGTGTGATGCTGATAGTAGCAAAGAGCCTTAGTGGACCTAAAGGCAAGGGCGGGGGGGGAAAGGATGTGAAGCCTAAAACGTCTCCCCAGTAGCATCCCAGTAGTAAAGGGTCTGTCAGCATTTCCACTCCAAACCCCAATTTTCAGAGTTTATAACTCAGCTGTTTTAAATAGCTTCAAGCTGAAACCTGCTGTATAAATTGTCAGCCCAGATGTGTATTTTGAAACAAAAAATAGTGCAAATCAGTTATTCTGTTTTAAGTTACAGAACATTAAAATATTTTTAATAGTATCAGATGCTCTTTTGGCAATCTCTGGAAAAGGCGTTCTCAATATGGAAGATTTTACATTCAGAGGCCGTTTGAATTTGGCGTTTCGCAAGAAAAGCTGTTGAAGTGGTAGATATCAGTGTTTGAGAGGAACTATTTAGTATGCACGCTAGCTTTTTTTTCGAAACAAGCGTTTTACTCTGCAGAAAGTTGTAATACCTGCTGTTGTATAGTAGTTTTGCTTCGTGCTCGTAACTTCCGTCTTTAGGGTACATACTTTGGCCAGTTCAAATCCCACTGGACCGAAACTGGGCAAACAGGTTGCCTAACCAGACGAGAATTGTGTTATGCAAAAAATACATGGTTATTTTCAACTTGTAAGAAATGGTTTGGTTTTAGTTCGTGGCTTCATCTGACTCCATGGACCTTTTTGAGCTTTAGTTAAAAAAAAAAAAAAAAGCAAAATGTACTTTTAAGTACCAAAATGTGTAAGTAGTTTAATATGGAAAAGACTTCGAAATAGTTGAGATATTTATGTTTAAAGAATAGGTAAGGAATGTACACTGTGGCTACTTTTAATCTTGAATTTTTTACGCAGTCCTTATTCATTTCACAGTGCACGTACCAGTCTCTTTCTAAGAATATGTAAATAATTTTGGATTGATACATGGCATAAAATTACCAAATCAAGGTTTATGCCAACAGTCTTTCAGTATGTAAAGTTACTTTTTTAAATTCTCAAAATGCTATGTATTTCTCCAGGTTTCAAACTTGTTTTGCAACGCTTTTTTCTAACCAGTGCTATTATGTATGCGTGCAATAGTCTTCTGGTATTTCATGACAAAAAAATATGAAATTATGAAAAGAACAAGCATTTTACGCCAGTTGCATAGCAGGGCACCTTTCCATGTAACAGGACTTTAGTAGCCAGAGTTTTTATTTTCACCTCTGATTTCAGTTTGTCTTTCCCTTCGGTGTTCTCCTAATGAGGCGAGTAGCGATAGTGCATCACAGTGCATCAAAAAGCCCGTGCATTTCAGTAATGATGCAGTCGTCGATGAGACGCCATCAGCCCGGTGACTCTGGCAGCGCCACGTGCAGGTTCAGGCTGATGTCTAAGCTGACAAATTGAACTGACGTCCTGGAGTGGAAAGGGTAGGGAGGAAACCTCTGACGAGCAGCGGGGTGGGGAACAGGAGGGCTTTTGAAGAGGTTTTGCTCCCTCCTGCCCAGGTGCTGGAAGCCGTACCCGTGTTTGGGAGACGACGGCTTGAGCCGGAGCCGGGATGCTGCTGCCTGCTCCGTGCTCTGGTTACCTCGAGGAGGAGGTGAGCTGAGGCTGCAGCCACTTCGCTCCCTCTTCCGAGGCCCCTGGCAGACTCGCACTTCCTCCTGTGCTCTCGGCATTTCTTTGCGTTTCTGGACTTAATGTGATTTTTTTTTTTTTTTAAATAAATTTTTTTTGCTCGTTTGTTTCGTGAGATATAAAAAGCATAGGTTGCAGCTCCCCTGGATGCTAACGCGCATGACAAGACTGTCCAGAGATAACGTGATCTGTCGCACACTGGGAAGGGAGTTATAAGTACTCTCAAGCCCCACTCTTTAGAGTTGAAGCCAATATCCATTTATTAAGGGTTAGAGTCAGCTCTGTAATCTGTTCAGCAGATTATTATTTGTTATTTGATTATTATTGATTATTCCTTACACCTCGCTTTGAAGCCGTCGGACCTGGTTGCTGTCAGACCCAAGGCAGTGAGCTAGTGAGACCTCAGATCTTATCCACAGCGGTGGTTCCTGTGTTTTTATGTTCAGGGACGTTCATATCACTTTCAAGTAAAATCTTTGATAGAGGAGACCTCACAGAACTTTGTGGCAAAACTTGGTTTTCAGTTTTGGGTGGCATTACCTGGTAGTTTATGGAAAAACAGGAAAGCACCAGGGTAGAGCCTTTTTATACTGCGTTTTCAGCTTTGCTTTCTTCTTTCTCGTCCATATTTCTTTTAAATAGGACAAGCTGTAATTTTCAGTAATATAGTCTATTTTAAATATTTTCCGATTTGGTATACCTTTGTCATTAATTTTTATTGTTTAAGAGAAACATTGCACAGTGCACTGGGCTGCATAACACTCTCCCTATATGTTGAGAACTCCTCATTCTTTCCACCTAATTAATATTAAAGTGCAGCCTGCAATTATTAGTTTCAGACAGGATCATTTATGGGAAAGACATTTCAAGCAGGGCTTATGACAAAATGTAATATATATTTCAGGAGACAGAATAAATTACTCTGAATAATATAAAAAGTCGTATCTGACCATGTGAACTGGTAGAAACTGCAAGGGGACAGACTTTGTATCTCCAGACTTTGTTTTTTTCCCCAGTCAGAGCTCAGCCGTGCAGTATTTGTGAATCTCTTTCTTTTTGTTAGAAATTTATTTCCAGCATCAGTATTAGCTAACTGGGCAAAAGAAAATTATTTTCTTGATATTTTGTGGACTTTTTTTTACGCCATGTGAAGAAACGTATATTTTCTTCCTAGTAACTTAGTATTCCTGTTTATTTTTATTTTAAAAAGTCATGGTGCAGTAACACTGTAGGTATCCCTGGTGTTTTCAAATTAGAAGACAGGAGCTGTCTACTCCGTGGCGTTTATCTAATCAGATGTCGGAGCACTACACAACCACTGAAGCGTAAAAGCCAGACTATCAGCTAGGTGAAACGTAAGGAGAAATACTTTGATATCTTTTGTTTGCCCATCCTGGAATTTGAGGGAGGTATCGGCGCTAACCACATGCGACTCTTGCGAGCGCTATGAAAATTTACATGCCTGCAAGGAAATAACAGCCTTTGTTTTATATTGCATCTGAAGAGTTTGAATTCCAGCCATAAAGCGCTCCATCGCAGCAGCGAGTTGGGTGGAGAGCTTCGTCTGCTAATGCCCCCGGTGCCGCTCCTGGGATGAGTAGATGGGGGGGTTTCTCTCTAGCTTGAAGCCTGAGGAGCTCTGGGATCAGGGTGATGGGTGCAACCAGCAGAGAAGTAGAACCGAATCTGGGTGCTCAGGCTGCTAATAGTAATTTCTAACTTTCCATTTCAAATGCGTTCCCGCGTATAATTTATGGATACGAGCCATGCCTCATGTTTTCTTGCTGCTCACTGGTTGCTAAGAACAAAGTTGGCCTTCAGGAAGCATTAAACCATACACTCTACATAAGGATGTTGAATGTTTCTGAAGAAATGTAACAAAGAAGAAACTCCCTATTAGGCTATGAGAAAGGGAGACAATACAAGATGCTTCTTTGTTTGATGTGGCACTTTGTTCTGTGTTCAGCTAATACATGACTCTTCACCACAGCGGGCTGGAGAAGCTGCCACAGAGCTTCGTAATGAGCATGGCAGCCTGCAAAGCTGGGCTGGAGATAGTGTTTTCAAAGTGTCGCTTCACGAGTTGTGGTTGTCTTCCTGTTTTAACAGGTGGTGGCCTTAGGAGAAGTGCCTGATGGGACGGTGGTCACCGTCATGGCTGGAAACGACGAGAACTACTCTGCAGAGCTGCGAAACGCTTCTGCCGTGATGAAGAACCAGGTGGCCAGATTTAATGACTTACGATTTGTGGGCAGAAGTGGAAGAGGTAGGCCACTGCATTTTATGTGTCCATAATGAAGTAAAAATGATGTCTAGACGTCAAACTTGCTTTGCAATGCAGCGCTGGTCAATCTGTAAATACGGCGTTGTCGGCGTTCCGTTTGGAGGGACGAATGCACGTTTTGTTTGCAAACTTCAGGATTTGTGCAAACCAAGTTAAGAGTTTCTCTCAAGTTTTTCTGACTCCTCGCATCTCTGTACGGTTTTTATCAGACACAGGTTTTGAAAAATGATTTGCAGAGAACCTGCTTCCCTATTTTAATCACGCAGCAAAGGTAGAAGGGAACGGGAATATTTGTGAGCTGGGTTATGTGGAGTCAGAGAGTGTATCTCAGGCCACGGCAATGACAGTCAGGAGAGCTGCTTCTGAAGTTGTTGTAGAAGACCTATAATTAAGGGGATTTTGCATATCACATGTGCTGTAGGTTGTATTCTTTAAGGGCTTACATCTTTAAAGGCTTACAGCTATTGGTGGAGAGCTTTCTAATGACTTCCCTGCCCTTTACAATCAAAATGCATATGACCTGCAAAAATAAGTCGTACTTTTCTTTTTAGTGAACTGATTGACTTTTATGAATTGCTGGTAAGCTTGGTCTTGAACTAAATTTAACCTTTATTTTAAATGACAGGGTAACTTTCAATTTTTATTTTTATTTTTTCATTGCTGTCATTGTCTTCCACCTGGTTAGGAGCTTCCTATAATCTGGAAACTGCACTCATAGCCTTTGTAATCATTGCAAGTTTGCAAGAATTCCTCTTTAAGAGTCTCGTAGCTGCTTTCAAATTGCAGATAATGGTTGAAAGGATAGCTCAAAGGAAGCTGGCACTTCAGTTTTTCCTGCAGGAATCTTCACAGGGGTTTGTTGTGTCAGTGGCTGATTCAACCTATATATTTTTTCCTTTATGTGTTTGAAGTAATTATCCATTTTTTAAAACTAGCCCTGCATGGGGCAAAACAAAGCAACAGAAGCTGAACAATTGTGCTGGGAAATCAGCAATAAAGCTAATTTTACACTAATATTTTTTAGAAAGCAATTTTAATTCATCTTAAGGAAGGAAGGAGTATTTGTCAAGAAAAAAATTAAACGTATGACAGAGGCCTAGATAGTCTAAACCAGTCGGCACGCTTTTACAAGTGCTCTGTGAAAGTGAGTCCATAAGCGTGGCTCACAGCGGCTATTTTTTATTTTAGCGACCTTGGCCAACAATTCTCTTCATCATTTTACAACTTAAAAAGTATCAATAACAAAGCATAACTTGAAAGCCAGAATAACTATTGCAACAGCGATGCAATATAAATACGGAGTTCATTGCCCTTTTGGATAAGGTGTTACCTATCTCTTCCATTTGTCTTGGTTTCTTTAAAAAAAAAAAAACAACCCGGTTTGCTTTGTTATTCTGCTGATGGATTAGGTTTGAAAGTTCTCTGGCTCCATCACTACTGCTGCCTTACGGTAAAAGTTCAGTAGCGTATCAGTCTTTCAGTAGTGCTGAAAAAGAACTGAAATGTGATGGACTACCTCCGATCTGTGAATTTAATTTGAAACCTATGATATATACTTTTTATTAAAGCATAGGAAATGAAACAGAGGGCCTAAAGCTTGAGTAGATACGGCTACAGACACACACAAACACAAACCTCCTAAAATTTGGTTCCAGTAGTTTTAATTTATATTTGTATCTAGCAGACTTGGAATAGACTTTTTCTCTGATCAATCTGGGTAGAATCTATGGAAAAGCGATAGTGTACTTTTCAAACCCTCAACATATTTATTTAAGAGACTTCAAAGAAAAACAAAGGGTGTGCACTGTTTTACTATATTGGCTTTCTGAGTTTTGGCTAGTTTCCCAAATAGCAATTTTTATATTTAAAAAAAAAAAAAAAAAGAGGGGGGGAAGAAAAAAGACAGACTTAACTGCTTGCAGACTTTTCACGCATGGAAGATGAAGAAAGCTTCTTTTGATGAAGTGTAATTATGTCCAAACAGAGCTGACCCCCTCCCCCTATATTTCTTATGATCTTAACGGAAGAAAGTTGGGCTTTTCCTTTGAAGCAGCCGGGACTCGGTGGAGGATCTGAAATGCTGCATTCTGCTGCCAGAGGCAGGATGGAGAAATTGGTCCAGACTTGTCTTCCAGACTTAGAACAGAGAGGGGGAGAGAGAGAGAGAGAGGGAGAGAAGGAGAAAGAGTTATCATTAATGATAGATTCTTAGAACTCTGCTTAAAATAGCAGGGAAAGAAAGCAGTAGTTGCAAACAGAAGTGAGAAAGCTCCTTGCATAGACAAATATCGATAGATACAGGTCTTGAAGTAGAACAGGAAAAATAAAGTAATAAAGAAATCATTTTTCGGTGGCGAGAAACTAATCCACACCTGTTCCTGACTTTAGATTTACATCTTTCTAAACAGCTCGCTCTTTGATCTCTGTATCTCTAAATTTGATTGTGAAGTCTGAATCATCAACTTACCACTTCACCTCCTCTCCCACGTTTTTTTTCTTGCTTCCCATGGCTCAATGGAGAAACTTGATTTGTATGCATATTAATGTTGCTTGCCTGACAGAAGCTTCACGTTTTTGTTTGTATAATTTCTCTTAAACACCTTTTCTGGATTCATAAGAACAAGTAACTGGGGTGCTTCATGTGAATGCAGTCGTTTGTAATGTGGTTTTGAGGCAGTAGCTCACTTTTACAAGCCCGATCCACAGCGCAGAGAAGAAAGAATTCCTGTCTTCAATAAGCAAAGGATCATAACCTTAATTTTGTTGTGTCCTGATACTTTAATCACATTAGCATCTAACTGAAAAAATATGCAACATGCACAAGCTGCCGAGCTCCTTTCAAGCTAATTTCTGGGGTTTGCCTTGTGCTTCAGCATATGTCCATCTCATCCTCCCGTGTCAGCTCGGCTCACATGTGTGAATCACAAAGAATGCACAGTTTAGACACACTGAAGCAATAGTGCCAGATGACTGCTTGGCTGGGGAATTTAATAAAAGAGAACTACAATTAGTCTTTAGCCTCTAAAAGTGGATAGTTGAAATGACCGAGGGCAGTAAAGAAAGGTGATAAAAAGTGCATTAAAGGATTTCGTAGCTGAGGAGGGATATCTGCGAAATATCTGTGGAAAGCATAAGCATCGTTGAAACAGGGGACCTTAAAAATTTATTTTGTTCTTAATCCTGTAATATGTAAATCATCTCTTGAAAGCTCTGGAACCTGAGCGTGGTGGCAGGGCCACGCAGCTCCCCGCGACGAAGTGATGTATTGCTTACTGAGCGCAGTGGGGCTTCGTCGATGCTACCTCATTAATGCTTTGGTTTGGTAGAATACCAGTTCGGGAACAAACCCAGTTTCCCTCTCAAATTAGATGCTTACCTGTTCAGCTTAGGCTGGCTGAGAGGTGATGATTTACAAGTGCTCACAGGCGAGGTCGAAGCGTAGCTCTTAGATATAAAGGAATGTATTTTTTCTGGCCCCCGGTATCCTGTTGAGATATATTTAGAGTAGAAAATCATGCAGACGTGATTTTACAGGGTCTTACAAGCAGTATATTTTGTCACGTTGATTTCTAGTCGTGATAGACTTTTATACTGGTTTGGTGTATAAATAGAATGGTAGCATCAGAAGGCCAAATTCTTCATTAAAAGGTATATGGAAAATCCCTTTAGTATCTTTGTTACCGATAATATTCTACCCATTTCATGTGGGTATCTGTGATCTGAATGGCATCATCACACGATTGCATAGTCAGAACTTTTTGACATGATAGGCTGGTACTGAAAGAGGCCTTAAACCTGTCCTTGGCAAATGTATATATATCCAGGCAGTAGGCCGAGTTCGTGCTGGGAGAAGGATAAAAGGCACGGACCCTTCTGAGCGCTGACCAAGCAGGCGTGGAGGCACCGTGTGCTTCGGTAGGGCTGTGCTGTATGTCTGCCGGCTGCCTACGCACATGCCGTACGCTGGCAGGACACACAGTTTGCCTCTGGCGACGGCGGATGGGCAGGACCGGACAAAGACTGGACGTCCTACATCCACCTAACTCTCCTCCTGTGATGATTACTTGAGAAATAATCCATTTCCCAGTGAAACTGGGGAAAGCCACCTTCAGCCATGCATCCCCACCAAGGCAGAATTCAGCCTCCTGAGATTTTGGCACCTTTGCCGAGGTCCTAAGGTGGGCACAGCTGGAGTTCAGCTACACCTGGAAAATCATTTTCCTCTAAATGACAGTTATATTTCCTTAAAAAAAAAAATCCATGTCACATTCTACTTCATGAAAAATATAGCCAAGACAGTTTGAAGTTGCACTCCTGATAAATGATGCGTGTCTCAGGCAGGTTTGGGGGATATACGACTTGGATCAGAAAGAAAGACCAATTACTAGATTTGACAGCCAAAGCTCTGCTCTGTATTATGCCTTATATATAAGCTGTTCTATATTAGACTCGAAAAAAAACTGCATTAAGTTTGCGCTGTTACATATCATTTAAGATTTGTGTCTTGATTGAATGCCTTCAGAGTTCAGCAAGAGGAAAAGCCCTAGCAACAAAAATGCACGTATACACGGCGGGGG